GTACTACTCACAAACTACACACAACCAAATGACATCACCTACTCACTCCACTACTACCATCTGTCATATAACTACAACCTCCCCAAAGAAATCAACCTCTTACTCACCTTCTGGCTAGTCGCCATCACCTACCTAACATACTCACTAACAATACCACTCGACGTTCTACACCTACGTTCACATCTACTCACCGCGGTACTCACACCACTAATACTACTTACCAACTACACACAACCACTTGTACTACTCACAAACTACACACAACCAAATGACATCACCTACTCACTCCACTACTACCATCTGTCATATAACTACAACCTCCCCAAAGAAATCAACCTCTTACTCACCTTCTGGCTAGTCGCCATCACCTACCTAACATACTCACTAACAATACCACTCGACGTTCTACACCTACGTTCACATCTACTCACCGCGGTACTCACACCACTAATACTACTTACCAACTACACACAACCACTTGTACTACTCACAAACTACACACAACCAAATGACATCACCTACTCACTCCACTACTACCATCTGTCATATAACTACAACCTCCCCAAAGAAATCAACCACTTCGTCACCTTCTGGCTACTCGTCATCACTTACCTAACATACTCACTAACAATACCACTCGACGTTCTACACCTACGTTCACATCTACGCACTGCCGTGCTCACACCACTTGTACTACTTACCAACTACACACAACCACATGACATCACATATTTCAAACCGTAATGTAATACTCACTCCATTCGACACCTCACCTACTCACTCTACTACCCACTACTCCACCTCACCTTCTGGCTACTCGTCATCACCTACCTAACATACTCTCTCACAATACCACTCGATGTTCTACACCTAAGTTCACACCTACGCACTGCCGTGCTCACACCACTAGTACTACTTACCACCTACACACAACCACATGACATCACATATTTCAAACCGTAATGTAATACTCACTCCATTCGACACCTCACCTACTCACTCCACTACCCACTACTCCACCTCACCTTCTGGCTACTCGCCATCATCTACCTAACATACTCTCTCACAATACCACTCGATGTTCTACACCTACGGTCACACCTGCACAATGCCATGATATCACCACTAGTACTACTTACCACCTACACACAACCACATGATATCACATATTTCAAACCGTAATCTAATACTCACTCTATTCGACACATCACCTACTCACTCCACTACCCACTACTCCACCTCACCTTCTGGCTACTCGCCATCACCTACCTAACATACTCTCTCACAATACCACTCGACGTTCTACACCTACGTTCACACCTGCACAATGCCGTGTTCACACCACTAGTACTACTCACCAACTACGCACAACCAAATGACATCACATACTCACTCAACTACTACAATCCATCATATAACTACAACCTCCTCTCAGTCATCAACCTCTTCGTCACCTTCTGGCTACTCGTCATCACCTACCTAACATACTCTCTCACAATACCACTCGATGTTCTACACCTACGGTCACACCTACACACTGCCGTGTTTACGCCACTTCATGATGAATGGTTGATGTGTGTTGGTGTACTGTAGTGGATGAGTGAGGTGATGATGGTAGGTAGTATATTGATGTTGGAGGAGCTGCTTTAGTTGGACTTCGTCACCTTCTGGCTACTCGTCATCACCTACCTAACATACTCTCCCACAATACCACTCGACGTTCTACACCTACGCACTGCTGTGCTCACACCACTACTACTACTCACCAACTACACACAACCAAATGACATCACATACTTCCAACCGTAATGTAATACTCATTCTATTCGACACCTCACCTACTCACTCCACTAATACCATCCATCATATAACTACAACCTCCTCTCAGCAATCAACCACTTCGTCACCTTCTGGCTACTCGCCATCACCTACCTCCTCTACACACTACTCTTCCCACTGGACCTCCTCCACATGCTCTCGCATTGGCGTCTCGTCAACACTCATCACCTACTACCACTAGTACTACTTACCAACTACACACAACCACATGACATCACCTATTTCAAACCGTAATGTAATACTCACTCTATTCAACACATCACCTACTCACTCACCTACCCAGTATTCCACCTCACCTTCTGGCTACTCGCCATCACCTACCTAACATACTCTCTCACAATACCACTCGACGTTCTACACCTACGTTCTACACCTACGAACTGCCGTGCTCACACCACTAGTACTACTCACCAACTACACACAACCACATGACATCACCTACTCACTCCACTACTACCATCCATCATACAACTACAACCTCCTCTCAGCCATCAACCTCTTCCTCACTGTCTGGCTACTCGCCATCATCTACCTCCTCTACACACTACTCTTCCCCCTGGACCTCCTCCACATGCTCTCGCATTGGCGCCTCACCTACACTCATCACCTACTACCACTTGTACTACTCACCAACTACGCACATCCAAATTACATCACCTACTCACTCCACTACTACCATCCATCATATAACTACAACCTCCTCAATGATATCAACCTCTTCGTCACCGTCTGGCTACTCGCCATCATCTACCTCCTCTACTGACTACTCTTCCCCCTGGTCCTCCTCCACATCCTCTCGCATTGGCGCCTCGCCTACACTCATCACCTGCTACCACTCCATCTACTCGCCCACAAAATACCCGCACCTACTACATTGTACTTCCAACCGTAAACTAATACTCACTCTATTCGACAACTCACCTACTAACTCCACTACTACCATCCATCATACATCTACAACCTCCTCGACGAAATCAACCTCTTCGTCACCTTCTGGCTACTCGCCCTCACCTACCTCCTCTACGCACTACTCTTCCCCCTGGACCTCCTTCACATGCTCTCGCATTGGCGCCTCGCTTACACTCATCACCTACTACCACTAGTACTACTTACCAACTACACACAAACACATGATATCACCTACTCACTCAACTACTACCATCCATCATATAACTACAACCTCCTCTCAGCAATCAACCTCTTCGTCACCTTCTGGCTACTCGCCATCATCTACCTAACATACTCATGCATCTACTCGCCGACAAGATACCCGCACCTACTACATTGTACTTCAAACCGTAATCTAATACTCACTCTATTCGACACCTCACCTACTCACTCCATTACTACCATTTATCATATAAATACAACCTTCTGTCAGCCATCAACCTCTTTCTCACCTTCTGGCTACTCGTCATCACCCACCTAACATACTCACTAACAATACCACTCGACGTGCTACACCTACGGTCACACCTACTTACTGCACTACTACCATCCATCATATAACTACAACCTCCTCGACGAAATCAACCTTTTCGTTACCTTCTGGCTAATCGCCATCATCTACCTCCTCTATGCACTACTCTTCCCCCTGGACCTCCTTCACATCCTCTCGCATCGGCGCCTCGCCTATAGTCACTACCTACTACCACTAGTACTACTCACCAACTACACACAACCACATGATATCACATACTTCAAACCGTAATCTAATACTCACTCTATTCGACACCTCACCTACTCACTCCACTCCCCACTACTCCACCTCACCTTCTGGCTACTCGCCATCATCTACCTACTCTACACACTACTCTTCCCCCTGGTCATCCTCCACATTCTCTCGCATTGGCGCCTCGCCTACCACTACTACCACTGGTACCACTCAGCAACTACACACAACCACATGACATCACCTACTCACTCCACTACTACCACCCACTCTATACCTCACCTGCGACTACCCACCTAGGGACAACAATATGGTCGCGACCCCCTCCCCGACGTCCTCCTGGACCAGTACCACTTCTGGCAGAACATCAAGACTGCCGATCTCATGGGCTACCCCCAAAGCACCACCCCCGAGAAACACTCCAAAACACGGATCTTGGTACAACTCCTAATCGACACTTCCCCGGATTCAACCTACTTCCAACACTCTGAGGCCAATGCCATGATACACCGAGTACACAGTGGTGATGTCCCCGTGCAACACCTAATCAACCTCAGTTGTCCAAATGATCCAGTGATACGTGACTTTGTCCAGACTCTATTGCGACTGGATGACCTGAGTCATATCCTTGCATGGAGTAATAGTGCACAAAGTGTTGACCTGGTGGAATTCACCAAGCTAAACTTGACATTCCACGCGGAACTACACAACAACCATGTACGTTACATGTGCCAGGAACACAACGGCCTGTATATCTACATGGGTGACGTATGGCATACCCCCTTGACCGCAGCTCTGGTCCGTGGCCTCGAGAATAGTTTGTTGTTATCCGACGAAGACGGTGGCATCTACATAATGGTCAGTACGGTGAGGTATCCCATTCGAGTGTTCCCCGAAATACCCCAGGTGACGGCACTGTCCCAGGATATCGCCCGGGTGCTCCAGGGCGTCGCCTGGCCCGAGCTCATCTACGACGGTGGAAACACACACTGGCTCTCTGCCATCGACACCGGCAGTCGTCACTATCTGTACAAGGTCCACTCCTCGAGGTCTTTCCTGTTCGTCCCGACCTACGCCTCGAGCCTGTTCCTGCTTCTGAACAGGTTCCTGGACCGGCAGTACGAGCAGGTGTGCATGATCAGCCGGACCACTCTGTTCGAGGACGAAAGTGACAACAGCGAGGAACGTGCCTTCTGGGAGATACTGGGACAAATCACCTCGACCAGTGATCCACACCCCAACGCCTATGCCTGCCGGCTCCACCTGCTCCTCGCCGCCAGCAGACAGGGACTCCACGTGACCCNTCCCGACGCACTGGCGTATATTGACAAAATGTTCAGCAGGGGACTGGCCCAGTCCGATTTCGTGGTGGTCTACGACCTGCTCTGCGGGATCTTCCCACTGTCCACGTTGCCGTACGAAGGGACCCACCCCTGGGGCGCTCTGCTCACCAGACACATTGTCCACCGGGAACGCAACAGCACAGTGCTGGTGTCCACTTTGGAGCTACTCAGTGCCGATGCCACGCTGGGACCACAGCTGCCACGGGTACCCACGGACGTGCTACATAAAAAGTCACTCTCCGCCATCCTCTCGAGGGTACAGCAACAGCACCCGTTCCAGAAGTTCCTCGTGGAGCTGCAACGGACACTGCAGAGACTCTTGCAACGTGGCTGTGTACATTGGGCTGACACCCACAGGAGGTACCACATGTACCAGTATGCCATAAGAGTGAATCATGTGGTTCCAAGTGGCACCAGCATGGTCCCATGGTCATTCGTGACATACTCCAGTGATTACTCTAATTGTGTTCTAGAGGTTATGCCATGCACAGTGGGTGACGCCCAGATAAGTGACGTGTTCGTCCACGGGATGGGCACAATGTTACTCGGTGACGTTGTTGGTGACATGGTAAAGGTGAGACAAGGGGGCCAAAGGAAGTTCCCACTGGCTATGGATACACACTGGATAATGCAATTTGAGGAGGCACGGGGGCTTATAGAACGGCTGAAGGAGGATTTTGACCGGGTGGACACAACCAGTGTGACGATAAATGGTGACGAGTTGGTGTTGCTGAGAGAGAAACTTGTGGAGTTGTACCATAGCGACGCTGGGTTCCTCGAGACAGCTATAAGAAGTGTGCTACGCAAGGCCAACGCGGTTGGTCATGGGGAAGTGCAACAGTGCTGGAGCTACATCTTCGGGAAACTGGGCGGGCTAGAGTGTCTCGTTGGCATGGACCAGCTCGTGGAATGTTTAGTCTCGAGTGATGGCATCGACACCCTGATGTCACTGAACCCGTTTGTAGATGGTCCCAAGGAGCTGCTGGCAATGGTGGCTGCAGTGATGATGACCGTGAACAGACGTTGGGTCACTGCCAAAGCGATATCGCAGGTGTCCCAGGTCCTGGATCAAGTAGAAAGGGGTGTCACAAAAGACACACTTTGCAGTTGTATGGGTGTGCTTTGTGACCAACTGTGTGTTACTAGACATTATGTCACTGTGTCTGGTGAAGGTGGCAATGTGAAAGCAGTGATGGACCCAAGGCTCCTTCTGTTCGAGTTCAGCAATGACTTGGTGCTACGCAAGACGCAGGTGGAACTGCTCAAAGAGTTCTGTGAAGCTGCCGAGAGGGGTGAGAGCAGGTGCCACCAGATGATCATGGGTCAAGGCAAGACCACTGTGGTGGGACCACTACTCTCGGTGATGCTGGCGAATGGAAGACAATTGTTCGTGCAGGTGTGTCCGAGTGAGCTTCTAGAGTTCACCAAGAACGTTCTGAGAGAGACCTTCTCAGCGGTCATCCGTAAGGGAGTGTTCACACTGCACTTCAGCAGGTACCACAGAGCCACGCCCGAGCTGTACCTCAAGTTGCTCCAAGCTAGAGAGACGGGGTCCATTGTTGTCTGCACACCTACCACTATCAAATCCATCTTCCTCAAATGCATCCTGTGTTACTACAAGTTGAGAGAGGGTACCGTCCCAGAGGGTACCGTGGCCAGGGTGACAAGGATCCACCAGAGGTTGTCCAAGATATGGAACATGAGGTATGTCGGGGGTGTGGAACAGAGTCTGGATGACATCTATCGTGACACGCAGCTGGAGTTGGATGTGCTGCTAAGGATCCTGGAACTGTTCTCCAGTGGCATCCTGCTGATGGACGAGATCGACCTGCTGTTGCACCCACTGAAAAGCGAGCTGCATTGGCCAATTGGCAGTAAACAGCCGTTGAAACAACTGGAGGGGAGTGACCACGAGATACGTTGGTTGTTGCCATGGTATGTGTTGGCGATGGTTGTCAATGGTGGACACCAAGAACTAGAAAGTTGTATCCGGGACGGTGTCGACCAATGCCATGTGACAATGTCACCACACATGGTCATACTCAATATGCAGTGGTACCGAGACAAGCTGTTGCCAATACTGGAGGAGTTGACAAAGGAGTATCTGGAGAAGTACATGTTGTTGACACAGATGGACGCAGTGTTGTACACTAGGGAATGGCTACGGACAACGTTGCCATATATGCTGTCGAAAGTGAATTTGGTTAATTATGGTGTGATAAAGGAGGAGCAAATCAGCAGTGTTAGTGTACCGTTGACAAGACGTACTCTAGCTGTCCCCTTCGTTGGCAAAGGCACCCCCAGTAGCCACTCGGAGTTCTCACACCCAGACGTTTTAATAGGTTTCACGATGTTGAGCTACATGTACCAAGGTCTGAGAAGGTGTGACTTTGTGACTGCACTGAGGCACCTTGTGTCGAGGTTGTACACAGAACCCGGGACTGTACAAGATCGACCTGCGTACACGTTGTTCTGTCAGTGGGTTGAAAAGGCTGGTGGCAGAATGCGTTGTGATAAAAGGAAAAAAGAAGTAAGGTATTATTATCTGAAGAATGTTTTACAAAGTCATGTTGGTGACACTGTGCTGTGGGACATTAATGATGACATACCTACTTTGGATGTTGTTAACGTGGATGATAGGGAGCAGGTGGATCTGTTGTATGGATTGTTGCGACGTGAGTTGGAGGTGATCAAATACTACCTGTGCGAGATACTGCTGCCAGCTGCGATGGAACACACGAGGTTGCAGGTGACCGCGAGTGCGATGGAACTGGGTACTTCCATGTTGTTCCCAGTGAGACTGGGGTTCTCGGGGACACCGTCACAGCTGTTGCCCAGGGAGATGGGTGGATGTCATTACAGTCGTGGTGTGGATGCTCGCATCATCGATGTGTTATGTGATCCTGGTGTGGTCATGGGACCCACTGTGTTGGAGACGGGGTGGACCAGTGACACTGTGCTGGACCTGGTGGCAAGGCACCCAGATCGACCTCTAGCACTGATCGACACAGGTGCTCTGATTAGCAATATGAGCAATCTGGAGGTGGCCATGGAGTTGTTACGAAGGGGTCTGGAACACGTGGACGGAGTTGTCTATATGGACCAGGAGGACAGACAGATGGTGTTGCTGAGGGACCGTTACAGGACCTCTTTATTGACACACTGCGGGATACCACCGGAACGTAGGTTCACGTTCTACGACCAGGTACACGCCACGGGACAGGACATCAGACAGTGTGCCACGGCGATGGCGATGATCACGGTGGGTCCCAACATGACCTACAGAGACTACTCCCAGGGGGCATGGCGGATGAGACAGGTGGGTCGGGGACAGACATTGCACCTGGTGGTCCCGAGAGAGTTGGACGCAGTGATCCATATGGACCAGGGAAAGGCACAGTTGAAGATAGTACAATGTCTACAGTGGTTGGTTGTGAAAGGTCTGTTGGAGGATGTCGGACTCAAGACAGTGTTGGAGGAACAACAACGGGGGAATGCCGTGAGAAAACAAGCATTTGTGAAGATGATAGAAACACGTGACGATGAGAGTGCCATCGACACGTTCCTAGAGTACAAGGAGTACGGGGTGGGTGAAGGTGGGTTGGAGACTCTACACGAACAGGAGATGGAACTGTTGGACGTGGTCGAGGAAGAATGTACACACCAGAAACANCGAGCCGTTCGATGAAGGTGGAAAATATGCAACCACGGGTTGGGACAAACTGTTGGCGATAGTCGGCGTGCAACCGAGGGTGGGTCGTGCCTGCCTCAAGTGGTTCAACTCGGAACATGGCTACACAGACGCAGAACGTGGAATACTCCATAGTGTTTTTAAAGGGATATCAAGTGAAGCATGTGAAGAGTACTTTAGAAGTCTGAGTGACACCAGGTGTTGTCCCAAGCGTGTGGTGTAGAATGGTGCACCAATATTCCCCATGTCGCGTAGTCATGATGGACGCTTATGTTGTAAGAAGGATATTTAAAGAGGATGTCGGGGAATGGTGGTTGTATTCAATTGCTTATTTCTCTAGTGGACAATCCACCCGGGAATCTCAAAGAATGTATTGACTGGGTGTTAAGGTTAACGGAGAAGGATGAGCATGGGCAGATTAATGGACACAGCCATGGTAAAGGTAATTCCGATGCGATGAAAGGTTTGGCTGAAAAGTTGCTTGAACTCTTAACTGCAGTCTACACTGATATAAACCAAAATGAAGAGAAGTACGGTGGCGAAAGAAACACCAACCTTGAGACCGATAAAGCCGTCCTTGAAGCGGTACTACTGTCGTTACATAGTGAGCTAACAACTGGTAAGAATGGTTTAATCGATAAACTGTCCCACAAACTTCGTGATTTCATTGGATGGAATGGTAGTGGTGGCTTGACCGGTTCTGGTATTGGTAACAAGAATCTTGGCAATCAATACAAATCCGCATACGGAGGCATGGCCGATTGGCAAAAAGTTACTAGTGAACAAAAACAATCCGACGCAGCTTGCCTCTTCCTCGGCGCGCTCCCCGTTATCTTCAGCGGCTTGAGTTATTTGTACTGGCAATGTGCCAAACCAAGTGAAAGGTGGGACAAAGACACAATGGTGACCATCACTAACACCAATAATGCTCTTGGCATATTTTTTCAATGTTGTGGTTATGAAACTAATAGGTTAAATAGCCTTATGTATGCCTCAGGAATGCAGCCAAAGAGTGTCAAACAATTACTTGGTGGCGGTACTTCTTTCACAGAATTCAACGGTGCCACTTCCAAAGTCTCCGACCCCTACCCCGTGTACATCAACGAAGTACTAACCAACGCCACTTGCAACCCAGAACAATACCCACTCTCATCCCTCTACCTATGCTCAACATACTATTTCCAACATCAACAAACCAAACAGAAATACTGTAAAAACCAACCTTCAACAATCCGTGAAATGCTATATTGGCTAATGGCCCTTCCCTATACCCAAGTGATTCAACAATTGAGTAACAAACCTAGTGATATCAAGAATTACTTAGGTAAAAAAGACAATAGTATTACCTTCATCAATGGCTCAAGAAGCACAATCCCCTTCAATCTCCAAGACATCCCCTCCTACCTCCTCCCACCCTGTTTCAACGCCGGCTTTATCCTCATGACTATACAAGGTAAATTGTGTACACCCAATACAACAATAGTTGACACCACTCCTGGTAATCCACCTAACATACACAGCATATATTCTAACTCCCACTTCCAATTCAATTACCCAGACAATCCCACCGATTGGTTCGATATGCTCTGGGAAGTTGTTTATAATCTCATTTACAAACTAAATTTTTTGAGAGAACAATGCAAAACATGTGTTGGAATAGCTTGCGGTTGGTTATGGTGCCGATATGGCGGTGAGATCGCATATTTTACTGATAAAGACGGTACAAACCTGAAATCTTGGATTTGCAAAGGTCCTTCGTGCACGCCACGTTCAACTGGCAGTTGCAATCAATCCCAACACTCCTCTTGCGGCACCAATGGCACTCCCTCCCCCCTCCAAGCTTTCCTATGTGACACACTCAATGGCTTTCGAAATCCCACACCTATGGGTTTTGAAAACCACTCGTCCAAATTCCCCCAATCTCGTTACGGCAAACTCATTACAACGATGCTAAATCCCTTCCTCGATAAATCTCGAGACGACGTTAGTTTATACAACTTATTCATCTGTTGCTGCTGTGTCACGCTACGTAACCCTCTAACTATCGCCGATATTTTTCCCTTTTTGTACTATCTTGGAAAATGTTATCAAAATCCTAATGGTGGTGGCACTGATTCCATGTCGCTTAGTAAGTTAATTGAATCCCAAATTGAAAGCCATTTGTGGTCAGGCATCCATAATAAACCGAATAAAACTGATATCGGCACCCGTCTCAAAGCTCTGAGTGGCAATGGTACGGCAAACAAGCATAACGGTGTCTACCACCCCGCCGACCTCCACAGCCTATATGGATGTAACGACACAGCCAACTGTTTAGGTTTCATCAGGCCACTTTCTTGCTTTATTTACACAACTTTTGTTACAAACGTGGGAGATAGATATCTCTCATGTATCGTGTATCTTTATTTTATTCTGTATGAGGCGCTTCAAGGTTTAATGCACAACTTCAAACAACTAAACTGTGAAAAAGAAAAAGGTTGTTCAGGATCTTGCAAACCAACGGGGAACCTTCCTTGCCATTCGAATATGGACCAACAAAACTGTGAGTGCACTTCCGTTGTACACTGTTCTGGAGTACTACCATTGTTGTACGCCAACGGCTTTGCGTATCACTTTCAGGATACAACGAACGCTCAAATATCGACAAAATGCAAAGCATTCTCTGACCACCTCTCTGCAGTGCTCAAAAAAGGGGGACCGTATGATAGACTATTGAAGGCCATAAACACGTTTCTTTACCACATCCGCAAACCCTTCCTCCTCTACCTCCTCACCTTCTGGCTACTCGTCCTCACCTACCTAACATACTCACTCACAATACCACTCGACATTCTACACCTACGTTCACACCTACGCACTGCCGTGCTATCACCACTAGTACTACTCACCAACTACACACAACCACATGACATCACATACTTCCAACCGTAATCTACTACTCACTCCACTACTACCATCCATCAACCACAGATAACCTCCTC